GAGGGGTGAAAGGGAAGACGCTCTGGTCATTCTTGTAAATGTTTTCCCATTAGTTTTTGTTACAAATTGAGTATGAGCACTAGCTTAAAATCACATAATTCGTGATTTTGAAAAGTTTGGTGGCTATCCGACCACCAGAAGCGTTGCGCCCCCCACACGTTACCCCTATACGTGGCGTTTCTCTATATCCTGAGGGAAACTTTCAGATCGAGACCACATGAGCCGGTCCAGACCAGTTAAATCGGGCCAAGTCATGCCTGAGTCGATTTGAGTCGTGCCTAATCGATCCAAGCTATGCTTAGCTAAGTCGAGTTGTTTCTAGGCGAATCGTTGACCTTCATTGGCCTTTGTTTGACCGTTGATCGGGCATTGACTTTCTTTAAGACCACATATCATAGGCATTGACTATTTTCTAAAACCTCATATCCTGATATTTCAAGACATTTTGAGTTCAATTTTAGGTCCGTTATACCAAAAATCAAACCCGGTAACATGTTTTTCAGTGTTTTACCTTCTAATTCAATCCATTTTTCACAATTAAGTTTTGTTTCTGATGTAATTTCTTTTGCTATGTATCTGAGATATTAGAGGACCTCGAATTTAAGGTTAAGAACGATTCATTAGTGTTTAAATGGTCTATCAATGTAGCTCAAAACTCAAGTAATACCTTACTACCCTTTGTACACTTTATAAGACGTACTGGTAATTTGGCCAATGCATGAATGTTTATGCTTGGACTTGTGATTATTCTTTATTTTCTTAAACTCAATAGTAAACTAATTAAAACTTAGATGAATCATCTAGGAATTAGATAATTAATAGGAAATCCCAAAATCAGTGATTAATTTATAAATCAATTAACATCGAAATCCTTAACTCTGATTATTTCTATGAAAAGGTCGAGAGAATTACACCTTCGATGCCTCTAATCATTGGCTTTACCCAATATAACTCGCTAAGGGCTTCATTTATCTTAAGGGAAACATCAGAGAGAATCAGTTCTTAGATGGTTCGATTAGTCTTTCGCTCTTATACCCAAGTTAGACGAACGATTTGCATGTTTGTATCGATGCGGGGCTTCTCCCGAGTTTCCTCTGGCTTCGTCTATCTTAGGCATATTTCACTACCTTTCGGGTCTCGATGGGCATCTCTCACTCGAAACCTTCTTAGAAGATGAAGGTCGGTCAATAGTGCACCTGTGAAGGATCCCGGTAATCAGTTTTCTTTGATTTTTTGGGTTTTTTACCCGTTGACTCGCACACACGTCAAGCTCCCTGGTCTGTATTTTAGGACGGGCCACAAGGGGAGCTCGAAAGCCGATGCCCTGAGCACACTAATGTCGAAGCACGTTGAGATGACGCATGTTGTGTTCCATGATTAAGGTGCCGATGTCTCTATGGATATATTAAAGGCCCAGTCTTGGTCCACCACTACGATCCACGTTAGTCCTTACTGTAACATCCTAATCCAATTCGACCCGAAGATCCATGGTTACAATGCCACACAGGACCACCGAAATGGTCAACCCAAATATTTCTTTTGAAAGTGTTTATAATCATCAAAATAACTCATCATCATTGCAGAGGGAATTAAATCCAACATTTACAAATATAGGAGTCTTTCAAAATACTTACAATACAACTATAGAGTTTTGAATCAAAATTGAGTTATGACTCGAATACACGAGGTCCCTATAAAATACATGTCCTCTCAAAGAGACTCAAGACATACTCTGAAAATCTTCTGGCTTGGAATATACGAATGTGATAGGCTCCTCAACTATCCCCTCTATTAACCTGCACACGAAAACATATTCCATACTTTGCTCAACATATCAATTCCAATAAGAATATCTATGCAATACTACATGCCTTCATTACATGAACATGTTGGTGTGCGAGGTCATAACATGCATAATTACATATCAAGCATGAGATAGGCCAAGTGGTGTGGTCGGAGGTATTTACGTGCATCTTGGACAACACACTATCCTATCCAGGACATGATTGGTTTGGGGTAAGAACTAGAATTTACATGCGTCGAAACTTATTGCCCTTAGTCTACCTCAGATCCTCAAGAGGTCGGGGTGAGGTCCGAAATTTACATGCATCGAAAGCTCATATGCTCAAGAGCCCTTAGTCCAGCAGTATCAGTATCGATACTCACCCCTTGGGTATCAATACTCACCTGAGTATCGATACCAAAATTTGTTTTGATGTTTTGAAAAATACTTAGGTATCGATACTCCCATGAGTATCAATACTAAAATCAGCTTCGATGTTTTTAAAAATGCCTTAGTATTGATATTGGCCATCATAGTATCGATATAAGAACCTGAGTATCGATACTCCTTGAAGGATTATCGATACTGCCCTTATAAATTACTTAATTTTTGCCCATTATGAAGAATACTATCGGTACAATTATTCCAGTATCAATACCGACGAACCTGAGTGCTCTATTTTGAGCTTGAAATCATACCCAAAACTAACCTGTTTACTCCCCTAAGACTTACAAACATTTTTAAAGTCTTATTTAGTGTCTTAAAGATCAAAAGTTACTAACTTTCATGCTTATAAACAACAAAAATGAATATTGCCATGGAATCACTCTAGCATGATTACATGAACATAACCTACGAAAATGCTCATATCATGATCTACATGCAGTATGGACAAGTAAGAATCATGTTACCATGAAGTCTGGTGACTAAAAATGTTCTTGAATCACCCAAGGGTTAACTTTTCCTTTCCTCTTGCCTTTGAGCTCTCCCCTTGCTCATGCACTAATCAAAGCCAAGAAAATGAGTTGTTAACTCATTTTAAACTTAAGGGAGCACTACAAATGATTCTTACAACATAAAACTTCCCAAAATGAACTGAAATTCTCAGAGTTCATAAACTCATCTAAAACCCACTTTTTGATCACTCAATCGATAATTATGTTTAGAGGCTTGAATCGAAGCTAGGAATGAGGAGGTTATAGTTCTTACCATGGTTGTTTCTGAGGATACTTAGAAACCTTAAAGTTCAAAGCTTTGTATTAACCATGGATGGGAAAAAGATTAAGAAGAAGAGGTGAAGAAAAAAACAAAGGGATAAAAAAGAGGAGCATCGTGCAGACATGATATCATACCAAATAAATGGGATTCAACCTTTAGTTTGAAAAATGGGTTAATTACCCACCTAGTCCTTCCCCATTTGATGTATGATTAAAATCATCCCCTTTATAAACTAGTTGGGCTCAACCCTAGACCAAATAAAATCCACTTGGGTCCAAAGTTTCATATACTAAGGGAAAGATATTCTAAAGCCCATTTGAATAAACTCGAAACTCCTAACCTGTATTTTGGGGAATTACAACTCTCTCATCCTAAGAAAAATTTCATCCTCAAAATTTACCTGAATAGAAGAGGTGCAAATACTGAAGTTGTATATCTTCCTCGGGTTCCCATTTCACCTCTTCAATGCCATGGTTTCTCCACAAAACCACTACTAATGGTATCCTCTTGTTCGAAAGTTCATTAACATCTCTAGAAAGGATTCAGATCAGTTCTTCTTCATAGGTTAGATTTTACCTTACTTCAACTTATTTGAGGGGAATAACATAAGACGGATTAGATCAATATCTTCGGAGCATGGAGACATGAGACACATTGTGAATGCATTCTAACTCTAGAGACAAAGCTAACCAATAAGCCACTAGCCTAACTCACTCTATAGCATTATACGATCCAATGAATCTTGGGGTCAACTTAACCTTGCATCCAAAATGAAGTACATTTTTTTACGGGAAATCTTGAGAAATACCTTGTCTCTCACAAAGAACTCTATATCCTTATGATTCATATCAGCATAAGACATCTGTCTATTAGAGAGATGACTCTAAATCAACTGAACATTTTATTTGATTTCTCTTATCAAGTTAGGGCCTACTATCATGCTTTCATGGAGCTCTGTCCAACACAATGGGGGTTTTTCACTTGTACCCATACAAGGTTTCGTATGGAGCCATCTCAATGCTTGTCTGAAAAACTGTTGTTGTATGCGAACTATACCAAAGGTAAGTGATCCTCTCAACTACCCTCAAAATCTAAAATAGTGCATCTGAGCATATCTTCTAAAATTTGAATAACTCGCTCAGACTACCCGTCTGTCTGAGGATGAAAGGTAGTGCTATAATGGAGTTTACTACCCAAAGCTCCATGCAATGCTTTCCAGAATCGAGAAGTGAACTGGGATCTCTGTCAGATATGATCGAGAATGGACTTCATACAATCTTGTGGATGTAAAGTAGATTTAATCTCTCTAACATGTAGTTCATACGTACCGAAAGGAAATAAGTAGATTTGGTCAAGCGGTCCACAATCACCCACATTACATCATGCTGAAATCTCGTCATCGGTAAACTAGATACAAAGTCCATCATTACTCTCTCACATTTCCACTGCGAAATCTAAATCAGCTGCAATAATCTTGAGGGAACCTGATGTTCTGCCTTGACTTGTTGGCACACTGAGCACTTAGTAACAAATTTGACATATAATTGACGTTCCTGAAGTGTCTTTAAAATGATGCGAAGGTGTTGATCATGCTCTTCCTCGGATCGGGAGTACATAACAATATGGTCAATTAAAACCACCACAAACTAATTTAGATAAGGATGAAAGACATGTTTCATCAAATCCATGAATCTCGCTAGGGCATTGGTGAGTCTGAATGACATCACGAGGAACTCCTAATGGTCGTACCTTGTCCTGAAAGCTATATTAGGTATATCGACATCCTTAAAATTCAAATGATAATACCCTGACCTCAAATATATATTGCAAAATATACATACACCCTTATGTTGGATGAACAGATCATCAATCCAAGGGAGAGTGTAGTGATTCTTGATAGTTAACTTGTTTAGTTATACAGGTAATCGATGCATAATCTCATCGATCAATCATTTTTCTTGACAAAGTGAACTGAAGCTCCCCAAGGTGAAACGCTCGGTCAAATAAAACCCTTGTCCAAAAACTCTAGAATTTGGTTCTTTAGTTCCTTCAACTTTGTCAGTGCCATACGGTGGGGTGCAATGGACACCATAGCTGATCCTGACATAATCTCTATACTAAACTCAGTCTCACTTTCTGGTGATAACCCTGGAAACTCCTCTAGGAACACATCGGAGAACTCTCGGACAATATGAATATCCTCAAGCGTCAAAATAGAAACACGCGTATCCACAACTTACGCCAAGAAGGCTTTACATCCATGATTCAATAACCTCTACGACCTTATCACCGAAACAACCTTAGTTGTGTAACCTGAACTCCAATTGGTCATCACTACTTTAGTCCCATCGTCCTTGTGAAGTTTAATTTGTTTTATCTTGCACCTTAAACTTGCATCATTCTCAGTAAGCCAATCCATGCCTAATATCACATCGAATTCGCGAAATGGGAGATCTATCGAATCGGCTAAGAATACTTCACCTTGGAGCTCTATGGGGCAACAACGGTGAACCTTGTTAACCAAAATGTCTAATCCTAGGGTACTAGACACTCTGACCCCTATTTCTAAATCCTCGACTGAAATATTCCTCTCTTGAACCAATTTATAACAAATATAAGAATGGGTGGAACCCGTATCTACTATTGCAGTAACATAAATGGAGAAAACTATAAATATATCTAAAATCACATAAGCAACATTGTATCCCTCATGGGTGCACATAGTATACTAGTGTGATACTACTCAGGGCTTTTGGATGGACTCTGAGCTGGTGGTATTCCTGATATACTGCCCTGAACTAGCCCTGCCACCGATCAAGGATCCTCAGACTAGCTAAACATAATGAGCAGATCTCTGGAAGATGTAGGGGTTGAACTCTGAGCTCTGGGACAATCTCTAACAAAATGGTCCAAGGACCCATAACTAAAACAACCTCCAGTCGCTCGATAGGACTCCCCAGGGTGCCTCCTGCGACAAGTCGGGCACATTGAATATTCTGGTATCATTTTTTATCTATCACCACTAGATCCAGAAGCTAACAATAAAGGTCTCTTGTGGTAACCAGACCTACCCCTCGATCTGAGCTATGGGTTGCACCCCTAGATAGTCATGATGGTAGTTTCCCTAAACTCTGGGGCCCATTGTCTTATTTGATGATGATTGAGACTGTCGAGATGAATTTAGAGCCCTTTTATTGTTACCCACTGAATCACTCATCATCTGATATTTCTTGTTCAGAGTCATCTCCATGGATTTTTCCTGACAAGCCAGCTCTACGAAGACGTGAGGAGGATCGACTACCAAAAGAGCCAGGATGTCCAAATAAAGCCCTCCTTGAACCTCTTACAATGGTGAGCCTCTGTAGAAAGGAGCTCAGGTGCATACTTACTGAATTTGAGGAAATCTTTTTTATACTCAAGTACGGTCATATCACCATAAGTCAGGTGTAAAATCTGGTCGCATAAATCATCGATATGGGCATCATTGATGTACTTCTCTTCGAAATCTATCAGAAAATGATCCCAGGTTGTCATCTCTAGCTCTATTTCCATCTATATTGTATCCCATCAGTCAATCGCATCACCCTTCAGAAGGGTGGTGATGTATCCAACTTGCCTTCGGGAGTGATATGCAACTAACGAAGGGTATGAAGCATCTCCCGAAGCCACTAATCTATAGAAACAAAGACGTCATCTCTAGAACCGTAAATATCAGTTGTCCTATAATGCCAGAGCCTCTCCACCAGAGACTCTTGAGGCACCACAACAGACTAGGCTAGGGGTATAGGTGGGGTAGGTGGCATGATAGATGGATTCTGAATATCGTGTACTATCTACCTGAAGGTCGAAGTCAGATCACAAAAGAAAGTCTCCTCGTCAACTCCCAAATCCGCAGGCACATCATGGTTAAAATCAAGGGCATACTCGTTACCAAAATATTAGGCCAAGGAGGTGCGACTCTCCTCCTGGCCCTCATGACTCGGAATGTCATCATTAGCCATAATCGAATTCTAAAATTAGAAAGGAAAGAGAAGTATCTATCGTCATTCCAAAATCTTAAGTATTCTTGACATTCTAGGCGTATGTACTCACAAAGACGCTTACTGACTCTAACCCAAGGGTCGTAGGAATTATTAAACATGAACACTCTGATACCACTAAATGTAACACTCTAATCCAGTTCGACCAAAAGATCCATAGATTATGATGCCACACGGGACTACCAAAATGGTCAACCCAAAAATTTCTTTTACAAATATTGGATTCCTTAAAAAATACATACAATACAACCATAGAAGATGAAGGTCGGTCAATGGTGAACATATGAAGGATCCCGTTAATCAGTTTCCTTACGTTTTGTGTGTTTTTTACCCGTTAACTCGTATACATATCAAGCACCCTGGTACATGCTGAAACATGTTGAGACGACGCATATTGTGTTCCATGATTGAGGTGTCGATGTCTCTATGGATATATCAAAGGCATGAGCTTGGGCCGCCATTACAACACGTTAGTCCATATTGTAACATCTTAATCCAGTTTGACCCGAAGATCCATGATTATAATGCCACATAGGACCATCGAAATAGTCAACCCAAAAATTTCTTTTAAAAGCGTTTATAATCATCAAAATAACTCATCATCATTGCAGCGGGAATTAAACCCAACATTTACAAATATAGGAGTCCTTCAAAATATATACAATACAACCATAGAGTTTTAAATCAAAATAGAGTTATGACTTGAATACACAAGGACCTTATAAAATACATGTCCTCTAAAAGAGACTCAAGACATACTCTAGAAATCTTCTAGCTTGGAATGTACAGATATGATAGGCTCCTCAACGATCCCCTCTATTAACCTGCACACGAAAACATATTCCATACTGAGCTAACAAGTTCAGTTCCATAAGAATAGCTATACAATACTACATGCCTTCATTACACGAACATGTTGGTGTGCGAGATCATAACATGCATAATTACATATCAAACATGAGATAAGCCAAGTGGTGTGGTCGAAGGAATTTACGTGCATCTTAGACATTACACTATCCTATCCAGAACATGATTTCTTAGCATTAAGAACTAGAATTTACATGAGTCAAAACTTATAGCCCTTAGTCTACCTCAGATCCTCAAGAGGTCGGGGTGAGGTTCGAAATTTATATGCATCGAAAGCTCACATCCTCAAAAGCCCTAAGTCTAGCAGAATCAGTATCGATACTCACCCCTTGGGTATCGATACTCACCTGAGTATCGATACCAAAATTTGTTTTGAAAAATACTTGGGTATCTATACTCCCAAATAGAGCCTTAGTATCAATATTGGCCATCAGAGTATCGATACAAGAACCTGAGTATTGATACTCCTTGAAGGATTATCGATACGACCCTTATAAATTACTTAATTTTGCCCATTACGAAGAATAGTATCGGTACAATTATTCCAGTATCAATACCGACGATACCTGGGTGCTCTATTTTGAGCTTGAAATCATACCTAAAACTCACCTGTTTACTCCCCTAAGACTTACAAACATTTTTATAGTCTTATTTAGTGTCTTAGAGGTCAAAAGTTACTAATTTTCATGCTTACAAACAACAAAAACGAATATTGCCATGAAATCACTCTAGCATCCTTACATGAACATAACCTACGAAAATGCTCATATCATGATCTACATGCAGTATGGACAAGTAAGAATCGTGTTACCTTGAAGTTTGGTGACTAAAAATGTTCTTGAATCACCCAAGGGTTAACTTTTTCTTACCTCTTGCCTTTAAGCTCTCCCCTAACTCATGCACTAATCAAAGCCAAGAAAATGAGTTGTTAACTCATTTTAAACTTAAGGGAACACTACAAATGATTCTTACAACACAAAACTTCCCAAAAACGAACTGAAATTCTCAGAGATCAAAAACCCATATAAAACCCACTTTTTGATCACTTAATCGAAAACTATGTTTAAAGGCTTGAATCGAAGCTACAAATGAGGAGATTATAGTTCTTACCATGGTTGTTTATGAGGATATTTGGAAACCTTAAAGTTCAAAGATTTTATTAACCTTGGAGGGGAAAAAGATGAAGAAGAAGAGATGAAGAAATAAACAAAGGGATGAAAAAGAGGAGCGTCGTGTATACGTGATATCATCCCAAATAAATGGGATTCAACCTTTGGTTTGAAAAATGGGTTAATTACCCACCTAGTTATTCCCATTTGATGTATGATTAAAATTATCCCCTTTATAAACTAGTTGGGCTCATCCCAAGCCTAAATGAAATTCACTTGGGTCCAAAGTTTCATATACTAAGGAAAAGATATTCTAAAGGTCATTTAAATAAACCCAAAACTCCTAACCCGTATTTCAGGGATTTACAACTCTCCCCTCATAAGAAAAATTTCGTCCTCAAAATTTACCTGAATATAAAAGGTGAAGATACTGAAGTTGTATATCTTCCTCGTGTTCCCATTTTGCCTCCTCAATGCCATGGTTCCTCCACAAAACCTTTCCTATTGGTATCCTCTTGTTCCACAGTTCATTAATGTCTATGGAAATGATTAAGATCAGTTTTTCTTCATAGGTTAGTTTTTACCTTACTTCAACTTATTCTATGGGAATAACATAGGATGGATCAGATCAATATCATCAGAGCATAGAGACATGAAACACATTGTGAATGCATTCTAACTCTAGAGGCAAAGCTGACCGATAAGTCACTGGCCCAACTCTCTCTATAACCTTATACGATCCAATGAATCTTGGGGTCAACTTAACCTTGCGTCCAAAATAAAGTACCTTTTTTCATGAGGAAACCTTGAGAAATACCTTGTCTCCCACAAAGAACTCTATATCCTTAATATTCATATCAACATAAGACATTTGTCTGTTAGATAGATGACTCTAAATCAACTAAACTTTTTATTTGATTTCTCAGATTATGTTAGGGCCTACTATCATGCTTTTATGGAGCTCTGTCTAACACAATGGGGTTCTTCACTTACACCCATGCAAGGTTTCGTATGAAGCCATCTCAATGCTTGCTTGAAAAAATGTTGTTGTATGCGAACTCCACCAAGGGTAAGTGATCCTCTCAACTACCCTTTAAATCTAAAATGGTACATCTGAGAATATCTTCTAAAATCTGAATAACTCGCTCAGACTACCCGTCTGTCTGAGGATGAATGGTAGTGCTATAATGCAGTTTAGTACCCAAAGCTCCATGCAATGCTTTCCAGAATCGAGAAGTGAACTAGGGATCTCTTTCAGATATGATCGAGAATGGACTCCATACAATCTCGCAGATGTAAAGTTGAATTAATCTCTCTAACATGTAGTCTATACGTACCTAAAAGAAATAAGCAGATTTGGTCAAGCGGTCGACTATAACCCACACTGCATCATGCTGAAATCTTGTCATCGGTAGACTAGTTACAAAGTCCATCGTTACTCTCTCACATTTCCACTGTGAAGTCTAAACCAACTGCAATAATCTTGAGGGAACCTGATGTTCTGCCTTGACTTGTTGGCACACTGAGCACATAGCAACAAATTTGGACACTTATCTCTTAATGCGTAAGCACTAATACAATGGTCAGAGCTGTTGATACATCTTGTTGCTACCCAAATGAATGGAAAGAGGACTACAATATGCCTCATTAAGTATCTTGTTATGAAGGTTTCTATTTAAGGACACACATAGATGCCCTCAAAAGTACATTATGCTTCTATCGCGTAACTTAAAACCAGGGGCCTCATCTCGAATGACTTGCTCTACTCGGACATTCAATCGATCTTCTGAACCTTACAACCTCTTAACCTCACCCACTAACCCAGACTCAACTCTTAACTCGACCAAAAGACTTCCCGATTCCATCAAACTCATAACTCCACTACAGTCTTAATATTCAACGCATCAGCAACAACGTTCACTTTACCCAGATAAAATTCGATCACAAAATCATATTCCTTTAAAAGCTCTACTCATATTATTTTCCTCAAGTTTAACTCCTTCTGAGTAAGTAGATACTTCAGACTTTCGTGATTCGTAAAGATGTGACATGTCTCCTCGAACAAGTAGTGCCTTCAAATCTTCAAGAAAAATACCTTTACGGCAAGTTCCAAATCATGGGTGGGATAGTTTCTTTCATGAGGCTTGAGTTGATGGGACACATAGGCCACAAATTTCCCATCTTGCATCAAAATGCACCTTAAACCATTTAGGGATGCATCACTAAACACGGTGAAGTCTTTACCTTATTCCTGTTGGGTCAAGACAGGGGCTTGCATGAGAATTTCCTTCAATCGGTCAAAAATCTCTTTGCGCTTCTCATTCCATACAAAAGGAACTCCTTTATGAAGTAGCTTGGATAACTGAGTTGCAAACATGGAGAAACCTTTGACAAATCGACGGTAGTACCTGGCAAGGCTAAAGAAACTATGTACTTTGATGACACTCTTAGGCGGTCACTCTAACACTGCTTTGATATTTTGGGGGTCTACCCAGATGCCATTGACTACTACAACATGACCCAAAAGAGCGAGAACTCACACTCCCCAAACTTGGCATATAACTGACGTTCCTAGAGTGTCAGCAAAATGATACGTATGTGTTGATCATGCCTTCCTCGGATCGGGAGTACATAACAATATAGTCGATTAAAATCACCAAAAACTTATTCAAATAAGGATGAAAGACTTGTTTCATTAAATCCATGAATGTCACTAGGGCATTGGTGAGTCCGAACATCATCACGTGGAACTCCTAATGGTCGTACCTTGTTCTGAAAGCTATCTTAGGTATATCGGCATCCTTAAAATTCAAATGATAATACCCTGACCTCAAATATATATTGTAGAATATACATGCACCCTTAAGTTGGTCGAACATATCATCAATCCGAGGGACAGGGTAGCGATTCTTGATAGTTAACTTGTTTAGTTACAAGTAATCGATGCACAATCTCATCGACAAATCCTTTTTCTTGACAAAGTGAACCGAAGCTCCCTAAGGTGAAACGCTCAGTCGAATAAAACACTTATCCAAAAATTCTTAAATTTGGTTCTTTAGTTCCTTCAACTCTGTCGGTGCCATGTGGTAGGGTGAAATGGACACCAGAGCTGATCTTGACATAATCTCTATACTGAACTCAATCTTACTTTTCGGTGATAACCCTAAAAACTCCTCCAAGAACACTTCGGAGAACTCTCAGACAATATGAATATCCTCAAGTGTCAAAACAAAAACACGCGTATCCCAAACATAAACCAAGAAGACTTTACATCCCTGATTCAACAACCTCTACGCCCTTATTATCGAAACAACCTTAGTAGTACAACTCGAACTCCAATTGGTCATCACTACTTTGGTCCCATCGTCCTTGTGAAGTTTAATTTGTTTTTTCTTGCACCTCAAACTTGCATCATGCTCAGTAAGCCAATCCATACCTAATATCACATCGAACTCGCGAAACAGGAGCTCTATCAAATCAGCTAAGAATACTTCACCTTGGAGCTCTACGTGGCAACGATGGTGAACATTGTTAACTAAAACGTCTAATCTTAGGTTACTAGACACTCTGACCCTTATGGGTGCTCATAGTATACTGGCATGATGTTACTCGGGGCATCTGGATGGACTCTGACCTGGTGGTACTCCTGATATATAGCCCTAAATTAGCCCTACCACCCTTCGAGGACCCTCAGACTCACTGAACATAATGAGTAGATCTTTGGAAGATGCAGGGGTTGAACTCTAAGCTCTAGGATAATCTCTAACAAAATGGTCCAAGGACCCATAACTAAAACAACCTCCAATCGCTCGGTAGCACTCCTCATGGTGCCTCATGCCACAAGTTGGGCGCATCGAATTATTCAGTGTCATTTTTGACCTGTCACCACTAGATCTAGAAGCTAACGATAAAGGTCTCCTATGGTAACCAGACCTAGCTCTCGATCTGAGCTATGGGTTTCTCCCTTAAACAATCCTGATGGTGGTCTCCCTAAACTCTAGGGCCCAATACCCTCTTTGATGATAACTGAGACTGTCTATATGACTTCGGAGCCCTCCTACTGTGACCCACTGAATCACTGACCATCTGATCTTTCTTGTTCAGAGTCATCTCCATGGATTTTACCTGATAAGTCAGCTCTACGAAGACACGAGGAGGATCACCTTCCAGATGAGCCAGAATGTCCAAATAGAGCCTTCTATGAACCTCTTACAATGGTGAGCCTCTGTCGAAAGGAGCTCATGTGCATACTTACTAAATTTGAGGAATTCTTTGTTTATACTCAATTATGGTCATATCACCATGGGTCAGTTGCAAAAACTGGTTGCGTAAATCATCGATATGGGCCTCATTGATGTACTTCTCTCTGAACACTATCAGGAAATGATTCCAAGTGAGCATCTCTAGGTTTTTTCCAACTCTATTATCTCCCATCAGTCAATCACGTTACCCTTCAGAAGGGTAGTGATGTACTCCAACTTGCCTTTGGGAGTGAGGTACAACTAATGATGGGTACGAAGCGTCTCCCGAAGCCACTAATATTTAGAAACAAAGTGATCATCTCTAGAACTATAAAATATCAGTTGTACTATAATAGCATAGCTTCTCGACCTGAGACTCTTGAGGTACCACAATAAACTGGGTTGGGGTATAGGTGGGGTAAGTGGCATTGCAGATGGATTCTGAATAACGCGTACTATCTGCCTAAAGGTCGAAGTCACATCGCAAAAGAAAGTCTCATCGTCAACTCCCACATCCATCATGGTCAGAATCAAGGGCTTACTCATTACCAAAATATCAAGCCAAGGAGGTACGACTCTCCTCTTGGCCCTCATGACTCGGAACATCATCATCAGCCATAATCGAATCCTGAAATTAAAAGGGAAATAGAAGTCTCTATCGCCATTCCAAAATCTTATGTATTCTTAACACTCTAGGCGCATGTACTCACATAGAAACTTACTGACTCTAACCCAAGGGTCTTAGGAATGACTAAACATGAACGCTCTTATACCACTAAATGTAAAACCCTAATCCAGATCGACCTAAAGATCCATGGATTATGATGCCCCACGAGACTACCAAAATGGTCAACCCAAAAATTTCTTTTACAAATATAAGATTCCTTAAAAATACATACAATACAATCATAGAGTTTTAAATCAAAATATATTTATGACTCAAACACACAAGGGCCATATAGAATACATTCCCTCTAAAATAGACTCAAGACATACACTAAAAATCTTTTGGTCTATAATGAATGGATGTGATAGGCTCCTCAACGATCCCCTCTACTAATCTGTGCATAAAAATGCATTCCATACGCTGAGCTCACAAGCTCAGTGCCACGAGAATAACTATCCAATACTACATGCCTTCATTATATGAACATGTTGGTGTGCAAGGTCATAACATGCATAATTACATATCAAATATGAGATAGGCCAAGTGGTGTGGTCGGAGGAATTTATGTGCATCTCGGACAACACACTAGCCTATCTAGAATGTGATAGCTTGGGGTAAGAACTAAAATTTACATGCATCGAAACTTATAGCCCTTAGTCTATCTCAGATCCTCAAGAGGTCGGGGTGAGGTTCAGAATTTATGAGCAACACAAGCTCACATCTCGGACCTAGTCAAACATAGGGCACGATTCTAAAATTTATGTGCATCAAAATCCATACCGGTACAACCCAAAATTTACGTACATCATATGCGTATCAACAAAAAATATCTGGATATTTACAAACGAAGGGTGATCGTCATAATACTAGAGCAACTCGGGTGTCCAAACTGTTTCCCAAGTGTCATACAAGGCAAATCTTACTTCATTCTAACTTGCTTCTTTTTTAGGTGAGAAATTAGTTATCTTAATTATTTTCACTTGTATTGGATACTTGTAGCTTATATACACTCAAAACACCTAAGCCCGAACACCCAAAACCATTTAACCAAAATTGCTAAAAATCAATATGGGTATCGATACTGGGCCAACAGTATTAGTATCGATACTCACTCCTTGGGGTATTAATACTCACCTGAGTATCGATACCAAAATTTTCTTCGATGTTTTGATAAATACTTGGGTATCGATATTCCTGTAGGGAGTATTAATACCCAACCCTAGGTATCGATGCTCCCATGAGTATCGATACCATAATCAACTTCGATGGTTTTAAAAAATACCTCAGTATCAATATTGGCCATCATAATATCAATATCAGACATTGAGTGTTGATACACCATGAAGGGGTATCGATACTACCCTTATAAATTACTTGATTTTTGCTTATTACGAAGAACAGTATCGGTATAGTTCTTTCAGTATCGATACCAATAAACCTAGGTTTTCTATTTTGAGCACGAAATCATACCCAAAACTCATTCGTTTACTCCCTTAAGACTAACAAACATTTTTTTAAATCTTATTTAGTGTCTCAGAGGTCTAAAGGTACTAACTTTAATGCTTAAAAACAACAAAAACATATATTGCCATAAAATCACTCTAGCGTGCTTACATAAACATAACCTACGAAAATTCTCATATCATGATCTACATGCAGTATGGACAAGTTAGAATCGTGTTACTATGAAGCTTGATAACTAAAAACGTTCTTGAATCACCCAAGGATTAACTTTTCCTTGCCTCTTGCCTTTGAGCTCTCCCCTTGTTCATGCACTAATCAAAGCCAGGAAAATGAGTTGTTAACTAATTTGAAACTTAAGGGAACACTAGGAATGATTCTTACAACATAAAACTTCCCAAAAAAAAGGGACTGGAATTCCTAGATTTCATAAACCCCTCTAAAACCCACTTTTTGATAACTTAACCAAAACTTATATTTAGGGGCTTGAATCAAAGCTAGAAAGGAGGGGATTATAGTTTTTACCATGGTTGCTTATGAGGATACTTGGAATTCAAAGCTTTGTATTAACCTTGGAGGGGAAAGATATTAGGAAAAGGAGAGGAAGAAGACAACAAAGGGATGAGAAAGAGGAGCTCGGTGCAAACATTATATCATCCCAAATAAATGGGATTCAACCTTTGGTTTGAAAATGGGTTAATTACCCACCTAGTCCTTCCCTATTTGATGTTTGATTAAAATCATCCCCTTTGTAAGCTAGTTGGGCTCATCCCAAGCCCAAATGAAATCCACTTGGGTCTAATGTTTCATAATACTAAGGGAAAGATATTCTAAAGCCCATTTGAATAAACCTAAAACTCCTAACTCATGGTCCATCGTTGAGGACGCTTCTCTAGACTACAATTCAGACACCGAGGGTAATCGATTCTCAAGATGGACTCTTCCTGGTTCGGCTGATGTTACTAAGGGAATCCTGGTAAATTTATTTTCCTCTACTTATTGATATGATTAAATTCAATGAGTAATATCGCTTGACCTGAGGTCGCGATGTGAGCAATGTACGTGCGATATCATGAAGGTCTGAGAGTCCATATTGACGAGAATGCATGACTCAGAACGAGGTTACTCAAAGCATTACCATTGATTGTCACGACAATGTGGTCATCGTGTACTAAATTTTA